AACGTAATACTTTAATCCGGTTCTCTCTTTTTCTCTCACCCTTTTACTTTTAACGGAGTACGTTTGGAATAGAGAAGCAACAAAGTTGATCTTTCGATATGGGGTCACTGCGAAGGTTCTGTGGATGTAAGAAAATAAAACCAGATTCACATTTTCTTTTCAACATTTGGGTTTTCAGTTTTATTTATTTGTATCATTTATATATATATATATATATATATATATATATATATATATATATATATATATATATATACACATATATATGTATATATATGTATATATGTATTATAAAATTACTATTTATTTTATACGTAAGGGACTTTTACATGAGATGGAAAAACACTAATCTATTTTGTGATAAAAAATATTCAAAATGTGTCAATTTAAAGTCAAATTAATTACCATTATCATTAGTAAGAAATAAGAATTTAATATGATAAATAAATATAAAATAATCATCTTCCACAGAGTATATCTAATTATCTTTCTGTTAAAACGAACTAGATTTTATCTTTTATTTGTTTTTTTTTTACGTAGAAGCAATTGTTCATTAATAGAATTTCAACTGATATATATATATATTAATTAATATATATGTAATTTGTAGTTACTAATTATTATAAATTAACCAAGTTCAGAAGATGAATATTTAAAGGGAAAATGTTAAAAAATCATTTAATAGTACAATTATATTTCATATTATTGTAGATTATTTATTAAAATATTAATTTGTGTTGAGATATGGCCAATTATAATAATAATAAAAAAATATATATATATATACAATAAATATAAGTAAAATATAATTCAAACATTTTAAGTATTACGCTAATATAACATTACATTTTTCGATCAATTTTTTTTTACGGATTCATGACAAAATATTATTTAAAGCTCTATCATATACGATTGGTCATAAAAAATTTTTTTAATTTAATATATATATATATGCAAAAAAAAAATATTACAAACATACAATTGTATGTGCAATTTCAGATTTAATTTTTGATGTACAATAAGTTATAAAAATTTATCATTTTTAAAAAGCTTGTAGAATCATAAATTTAAAAATAGGATTTCTCTAAAAATCGATTGAATCATTCAAACGTTATAGCAATGTATAAATAATTTTACAGTTAAACATGAACTATTTTGAGATTTTTTTTTTTTTTTTTTTTTGTAATTTGACCTATAAGGATCATAGGATGGGTGAACTGATCTTTGAAAGATATATTTATTGATAATAAAATAAATAAATTTTTAAATAAATAAAATTTACAGGTTTAGTATTTTGTTAAATTGTTTAAAAATTTTATTACAATATATAGATAATTTAATATAATACTATGCTCTCTTAGTCTATATTTCAATAAAAATTATGAAAATTATTCTGATATTATTCTCTTAATTTATTGTTTACAAATGACTTGAATAATATTTTTAAAATATTTGAGTCCCATTTTTTATAAATATTTAAGAAGTTGAATTAGTTAAATTATAATGGATGGTTTTTAATTGATATAAATATCTTAAAACAGTCACGATCATTATCCATAATTCTATAAGAAAAATATTATTTTTTAGTAAAGTAGCAGATAAATTATAATTGAGTACCACATTTATCAAAAATATTTATGTCGGTGAGTAAGTCACATATATTTTAATATCTCTTTGACAGAACTATGCGCATACGATTGTTCTTATCAGCGGATGTACAATAAACGTTAAGAATTATGATTTCACTTATACAATTTGAAATTTAAATTCAGTAATTTATTATTACCATTAGTTTACCATTAAACTAAAACAAACGATAATTCATGCAATGTAGTTTGTTATAGCAAAAACATGAGCGTAATAAATTTAAATGTAAGATCTATACATTAAAATTTTTTTGTGATTTATTAACAAAATGTAAAACAGAAAAATGTTCCAATTTTATACCTACATTTTTTTGTATATACACAATAGAAAAGTTAATTTAAAAAAATGTTTTTTAATCTAAATCTTTTACGCAATATAACATGTATCTAAAGATAATTTAATTTGATTTTCAAATGATAATTATTCTTTAAAAAAAAAAAAAGAAAACAAATATTTGAGAAGTAATATAATTAAATTTATCAAGAGAATACAAAATATTTCAGATTATTTGTATTATTAAAGTATTGTTTAAATTTAAATTTTTTAAAAATAGCTTTAATAATATCTTGTAATTGATTTTCTTTAATTTACAAGATTATTTTCAATATAGAATTGCATTTTCTAAAATTATTTTTCATATACGAACATCAAATACTTATTATCCGACGATGGATAATAATGTTTAATGTTTAAATAGATTTTACATTTATTATTTATCTCTTCGTTACATATATATATATATATATATATATATATATATATATTGTAATAAATTAAATTTATAGTTTTTTATGTTTAATTAATACATAGTTGTATATATGCATATATAGGTATAATTAAATATTAATTTAAAAATGAATCTTCATTGTTTTATATATTTGTAATAGAATACCCATAAAGTACTGTAATAAATTATCTATTAAGTAGTAAAAGTATTCGAAGAATTTAAATTTAATTACTATGAAAATTTAATTATTGTATCATATTAACTTAATATATTATGTTCTTAATTTTTACTGTAAAAATAATTTGATAAAGCTAAATACTGTATAAGCATTGTTTGAGTAATTTTGCACATTTTCTGAACAAAATATTTAAATATAGACATTTTAAAATGCTCATGAATTTTATTTAAGTTTTTCCATATTACAGATTGTATTGGTTTTTGAAGATTATAGATATATTATTTTAGTTTTAGACATTTTTAGAATTCATTGCTTAGATAGAGACGATTTTTTGCGCGATATATCTTAACCTATGCAATTGGAATAAACATGAGAAAGATTTTAATTGTATATTAAAGTTATACTTGAATTATGTAAAATTGCCAGATATACTAGTATTTGAAACATAAATAGAATAAATGTATTTCAAATTATATTTATTAAATCAGATATAATTTTAATAATGTGTCTTCTGGTTTAATTATAAGCTTGGTAGATAGTTATTTAAAAAAATTATTTTAAATTATGTGCACATTTGTCTATTTTTAAAATAGCCGAAAATATAGTAAGAATATAGTAGTTGGATTTGACAATTCTTGGTTCCTTCTGGTCAAGATCGTTAAACGTTGATATACTGTACTTTATCAACGTCAAGCCCGTTTAATATAAGTCAAGGTATTATGTAAGTAATTCACTATGCATTTGAACTAACATACTATTAGGAACTTTGAATTAAAATATATAAAATTGGTTTAATGTTGTAATATTATTATGCATATATTTTGTAGATAAATGAAATTTTTAAATTATGATGTCAAACAAACGAATAAAATACTATAATGAAAAGTGTATGTTTACTTGTTATATTATCATTTATTATAAAATTTAAAATAGAATGAAAATATATAAGAAGACATTTTTCGTATAGTTATATATTTTCTTAACGAACTCAGATCAATTTAATAATATTTATTTTGCAAAAGGTATAATTTTACTTTCATATTCATATTCCGAAACTACGAAATTATCGTTTTGAGTTGTTGAAAATTCAACTCTCAGTTCAAGTGCAAAGTGAATCGTCTAAATATGAGCCCCCCCCCCCACCCCCTTACCGACTTTACTACTCGTGAACGAATGCTTTGCCAGAGAAATACTATTACGGCTACATGGTTAATGTATTACGAGACAAAAGTCTTGACAAAACTTTAAAAAAAATTGGTTTTAATTATATCGATGATAAAATAAAGTTTATATAATTTATAGACAATAATATATATGAAGTAAATTGTACATATTTCATGCAATATTATTGTTATAAATAATTTAGTCTTTTAGTCATGTATGATGAATTTCAAATAAAGTTATTATGGTTAATCGCGAATAGTTTTTTTAGTAAAAATTTTATTAAGTAATGCGGAGTAAATGTAATCTTACTGCTTGATGAATTTTCTTATACTGTAATACTTTTCCTAAGAAGTAGAATAGGATTCGTCATGAGTTTTTGCGTATACTTACAATCAAATATATCGCGACATTTGCTTCAACCTGACTCAAAAGTTCTCGAAACGTTCGGTCATAATTAAGGTATAGTTTATTTTTTAAATTAATTTTATTATTTCTTTGTCCAATGAGCTTGTTAAGTAATTACAGCAATGAAAACAAAAATTTGGCACCTTGTCCAGAAAAAAAAAGTACATTAGCAATGAAAATAATTTATATTTTTTATATAAAAATGTTTTAATATAAAAGTAATCGATCTAATAGCATTTATACGGAAAAATGAATTATTACAACTAATTGTCGAATTTCTATTTATTAACGTATAATGTAACGAATAAAGTGTATAAATAAAAATAACAATCATATTGATTTATTTTTAATTAAAATTCACGTTGTACTAAAATAGTGTTATTACATAATATGAATCTACTTTACAAATAATATGTATTTAAATAATCTATGCGTAATGTATATAATATGTAATATAATTACATTATACATTATATACATGTGTATAAAATAAATATTATTTTTATGTAAATTAATTTATATGTAAAACTGCGAAAATTTCTATCGAAAAATTCAGTCGACTGCTAAATAGCTAAAAAACTGCTATTGAAATGACTTATTTTACCATTAATACATCGATATATAAAAAAGTATAAATTTAAAGATGATTTGTACAATTTTTCCATTTTATATATTAAAGCATACAAAATGCATGATGGAATACTTTATTTACCAAACAATTGAATTAACTTAGCTGGAATTATTTATTGCCTAAAGAATGAATTAAAATAATATTTTAAACTACATATCTTGGAATAATATTTTAATGTCGCGGGTAGCTTATGTAAGGTGCAGTTAACAATGTATTTGAAAAATTAAACAACATTTTTTTAATTGCAGGCCTGTATCGATCAAGATTTGGATATGGTTGAATTCTTGGTGGAACAAGGCGCGGACATTAACCGAGGTGACAATGAAGGTTGGACACCTCTGCATGCAACGGCATCTTGTGGCTTCATATCAATTGCCAAGTTAGTATGTTAACACATTTTCCAACAACGTGTAATAAAGTAATGATGGATGACTGATTATCCGATGATTGGTAGACGAATTATAATCTCATTTACCTTGAGACTTTTGCTTACTTTTGGCACTTTGCTTTAAACATTTGAGAGCAAAATATACTAGCATATTTTTGTTAAAATGTTATTTGTAAATTATGTTTTTTATGAAAGTTTTGCGCAAGATGTTGTTTCTTTATTCTTCGTTATATTTCAAATGGATATTTGAGAACACATACGTTCAATGTACGTTCTTAGCCGTTTGTTTCATGTATTATAAAGACGATTTATTTATTCCGTTAAGTTAATCATTTTATTCATATATTTAATAATGTGTGTATATATATATATATATATATATATATATATATATATTGTTTTATCTATTGGAGAATTGTTTTCTAGCTGCCATTAATAACAAAAGTATAAAGTCTTGATAGGTTTAAAATTTGCATAAAGTACTTAATTTTTAGGTAATTAGAACGTTAATAATGCGAGATAAATACAAAATAATGTAGAAAGCAATTATTCTTATAAATTTCATAACATAGTTTTTTTTTTTTAGATAACGATGAGATTGATTGCTTAAATCCCATTATTATTATTATTATTATTATTATTATTTCTTTCTATTGGAAAGATTGTGGAATTTAATTTTGAAAAACATTATGTATCAATATAGTTTTTTTTTTTTTTTTATTAATTGGCAGGATATTATTGATGCACAATATTTTACGAGTATATCGAAAAGTTATTTATGATTTTAGTAAAAATGCAATAAGCACTATTGTAATATTCTTCTTATACGAAGTTGAAAAGATAATAAATAAAGTCAACTATTCATGATGAGAAACCTTTAGTGTGTGTAAATTACGAGGTTGATTTATTAGATGGTGAAAGATAATCTTTTGAAATTGCTTCGATTAAAACGGCTTAAGTAAAGCTTAAGTTAATCCGAGGCGCCCATGCGTCAATTTCCTCTTCAATAACAATTGCAATGATTGTCCTGATTTAATCTTTATTTTTCTTCGTCAGATACTTGATAGAGCAAGGCTGCAACTTGGCGGCTGTAAACAACGATGGCGAGCTCGCTCTCGATATTGCCGAGAGCGATGAGATGGAGGAGATGCTCCAGGAGCACATTAACAAGGCAGGCAAGTAGTCGCGTTATGAAAGGAAAGCTCGTGAAAAATTAAGAGAGCTTTTGCATTCGCTCTAGTTAATCGAGTGCAGCTGACCCTTAGCTTTTTAGTCGCAATTTCTTTTCTATTTTTGCTATTACAATATCTACACTACGATCGCGTGCTTGCATTGCCTGTTTATTCTTGTAACACCTAAAATGAAAAGAAATTCTAACTTGCAGTGAGCGATCCCTTCATCGAGGAATTAAACTCTAAAATCAACTTTTTCTTTCTCATTTTATAGATTTTAATTATACAGATATAACAATGTCTGTAATAAATATTGCAAATGATATTGAATAATTATACGTACAGCTTATTCAATTGCAATTAATTAGTTTGTTGAAAAAAAAGGGAAAAAAAAGAAAAAAAAAATTAGTACACTGCCAACTTGTTATTATTCAGAAATTAAAATTCCAAATTAACGTTGGGCTTGAAAGTATTGGAATTTAAAATATATATAGACGATTGAAAATATAAATTGCGTATTATTATTATTATTATTATTATTATTATTATTATTATTATTATTGAAATTGTTTAAAATTTTGTACCATGCGGAATTTAAGATTAAAATACAAGTTGATTAGATTGGTATTGCGAAATTATCGAGTGTAATTGGAGAAATATGTTGCTAAGAAATGAATTGTAACAGGGATCGAT